TCACCCTCTTTTCCTTTCTCTGTTGCCCCTTCCCTCCTCTCAAAACTATAGCAAAAAATTTGGTGCACTACGCATTGTGCAGCGCTTTAAATTCCCCAGTAATAATTTGGCTTGCTGTGCAAAGCTTTGGCCAACCCTTGGTTGGTTCAGCCCTTCTAGCTTTGACCAACATCACCTGTAGCCCAGGTACATACTTGAGTTTGTGCACCCCTGGTGTAAAAGGTGGCAACCCTACCCACACCAGATCAGAAATCTGTCATATCACAGCCTTATATACACAGCCCTTCCTCCAACATATGGCACCCATTAATCTATAAATATAGAATCCCCCAGAAAATTGAGAGTTGGGGTACTTATTAAAATTTTCAGAAGTTAGGGGGTACTTGCTACTTAAAAGGCTGAGAAACACTGGACTAGATGACTGTCTGAGGTCCCTTCCAACCTTAATTTTCTATGATTCTGGTACTCCAATCCTAAATGAAACCATATGGCAAAGGTGTTAGGTCTGTGTTATGTCGGGGTTGATGGCAGTCTTAAGTAGAGCTTAGATTATGGTTGTGTGGAGTGGTCTGGATAGGGATAATCCTGCTTCAGGTAAGGGGATTAGACTGGGTGACCTCTGGGGGTCCCTTCTGGCCCACTTCCCTATGATTCTAAGGGGTAAATTCATCAGAGTGTGAATTGGTTAACTAGCCAGGTAACCAACTGAAATCTCACCAATTGACACCACAGAATTTCACAAAGATATTACATTCCTCATTCTGCACACTGGGTTCCAGCTTGGAGAAGTGCAAACCATACAGTGCAGTAGAGCCTGAAGAAGCTAGGCTTCCTCACTCTTGGGCCAGGTTTTAGTTGCACTTCATCTGCCTTAACTGGCTCTTCACTCCTGGTGCTTTAACCAATGGATTGACATCTGTAGCCTCCTATACACAAGAAGCAAGGCTGCTCCAATGGGCTATAATTACAGAGCATCAGAGCAGACTCAATTTAATTAATTGCTGCACTCCAGCAGACTCCAGTGTCTCATGCATCAGTGTCCCTGTGCTTAAAAATGGTGATAGTGGCGCTTTAACTAAAGTTCATTTGATGAGCTTTAGTTAAAAACACCCCTGCTGCCATTTTTAAGCATGGGGGACATTGATACGCGAAATACTCTATGAGGAGAGGCTGAGGGACCTGAATCTCTTCAGTCTCTGCAAGAGGAGACTGAGGGGGGAACTTGTGGCTGCCTACAACTTTATCAGGGGCCACCAGCAGGGACTCGGGGAAAATCTGTTCACCAGG